GGAGGCGGTGCCGGAGGGGGAGCGAAGCCCGGCCGGGCTGCTGAGGGGGATCCGATCGGAGGAGCCGGCGGAGGGTGGCTGGGGCTAACCAGGCTGGATCGTTTGGTTCCTCCAGAACCAGAACCTCTTTGGTTGTCTGCAGGATAGCTGTAGGACCGAGGAGAGAGAGGAATAAAGGTGTTAGCTGTGAGGCCAGACTGGACTGCAGCACCTCGGTGTTAATGCCAGTCATGTGTGTTTGTTGCAGTCTAGACAAAAGAGTTCCAGCTTTCACTGGTGTTTCCATGAGACCTCACTCGTTGGGTTTAGTTCCCTCGCAGTGTTTCTCTTGGCCTATACCACCAGAAGAAGGGAAAGCTTCTGGGGACTGGCAGAAATGCTATCACCAGTCCCATCTCCCAGGCTGACAAGAACATGAGCCATCTCACCTCTCCTCCAGAGGCCAGGTGTCACGTCTGAGCTCAGAGCAGCCTCCTGGCTCAAGAGCTCCTGCAGCAACGCCAGCCACTGCCCCTCCACGCTGAGGTCAGGCTCCTGACATGCCAAGCAGGGACATTTACTGTGATAAATCACCCAAGGAGTGGTGGGTGTGCCAGGAAGGCATATGCTCTTAACACCTGCTAGGAACAGATCTCTCCACCGGATCCCGCGGCTCAGGGCTGGGGTGCAGCAGCCATGTCTCAGAGCTTGCCATGGGGAGTGGGAAGGAGGACATGGAAACCCAACGTGCTCCGAAGGAAAACACCAGTTCTGGAGTGACTAATTTCCCATTTCTGGAAGCTGTGTTATACCAGAGAAGGTAACTGCCTATAGGATGCTATGTACGTGCAAAGGAAGCCCTAAGTTGACAACTTCCACAATAAAACTTGAAACTGAGGTGCATCTGCCACAAAAATGTCACTGTTTTTCAACAATGCACAACGCTGATCCATGACAGGCTGCTGGAGATCAAACCTGGCTTCTGGGCTTCTTTAAAAACAACCACCAAAACAAAACCAGAGAGGGGAGATCTCTGTGGCTAGGCAGAGATCTAAGCAGCTGCGCAAGGCAGCATAAGCTTCCTCTGAAAGCTGGTTTCTGCTCTGCCCTAGAGGAACACGCTGCAGAGTGCAGTGCTTGGTCTCCCTGACACATCAGAAGAGCCTTTTCTGCAGCATTGCTGCCTTTGGATAAGGTGGAGACAAGCTAATGCAGTCCTGTCTATCAGACACTTCCTCCTGTTACTCTTGACTCTTTTACTGCCTTTAAAAAAAAAAACCCAGCTACTTTCTTGTTTCACCCATTGTGTCTTGAGCCACTGCTGGACCATAATTCTCATTTCTAGAGGTGGCTGGAAGTCACCATTTCATCTGATACAAAGCAGTTGCCCTGGTCTTGCACTGAAGTCTCTGGGAGGAAGTCAGCTCGTGTGCTCAAGGCCTTTCAATTTCACTACATCTACATCTTCAGTGCCCACATCACGGATTTGTCAAAGATTGCAGGGCAAATGGTGACAAAAGAAGGCAAAAGAAGCTGCTCTTTACAAAGCTCTACCAGGAACCTAAGTCCATATGCTCTGGAAAACCCATGGAATGAAGCCAGACCATTAAGGGTCTGGAGAGTGGCTAGAGAAGGGCACTGAAGCTGCGGAATGGTCTAGAGCCCAAGTGTGGGGAGGAGCAGCTGAGGGAGCTGGGGGTGCTGAGCCTGGAGCAAAGGAGGCTCAGGGGAGACCTTCTGGCTCTGCACAGCTCCTGACAGGAGCCTGGAGCCAGGTGGGGGTCAGGCTCTTCTCCTAAGGAACAAGGGACAGGACAAGAGGAACCAGCCTCAAGTTGCCCCAGGGGAGGTTTAGGTTAAATTTAGGAAAAATGTCTTCCCTGGAAGTGTTGTCAAGCCATAGACCAGCCTGCCCAGGGCAGTGGTGGAGTCCCCACCCCTGGAGGGGTTTCCAAGCTGTGGAGATGTGGTGTGAGGGACACGGGTCAGTGGGGACACGGCAGTGCTGGGGGGATGGTTGGACTCAGTGATCTTAAAGATCCAGCCAAAACAATTCCAGGATTAACCTTCCTAGAAAGCAATACAAACCTGCTCTAGCTCTCACCCAAGCTCATCCTCCCCTTCCATCCAGGAGTGACACTGGGTGTTGGGATTTCTGAAGCACTGCTGCCTGTGCTCCCCTCCCTGCCTGCAGCTGCACCTCCCCTCCAGACAGGAGCGTTCTGGTTCCCATACGACACCCGTTAGGAAGTTAGGCTGAACTATCTCAGCCTGTCTCCTGTCATCCTTTTACACCACCTCCTACTCCTCGGTGACAGCAGGGATCCCGTAGGCTTACCTAAATTCCACCGGGGGTGGAGGCAGGCTGTCATCTGGGAAGGAAGGAGGTGGTGGCACAATGGAGTCGCTCTGCGGCGGTGGCGGGTAGCAGCTCCCGTCCATGCTTTCGTTGGAACCGATGCTGCCGTTCTGATACACCATGTTAGCAGGGTACCTGAGTGACAGCAAGACAAGCTGTGTCTTTAAAGAGGTCAAGGTGATGTCTAAAAGTCATTGTCCCACTCAGTTCCAAGAGCTTTGCCTGCTGGAAGGGCTACAACAAACCGCGCGGCAGTGACAGTCAGCAAGTCGATGGATCAAACCTGTGTTAGAAGGGAGGTTGGAATGGAAGGCAGGACTTGCTTTTAGGTGGGACCTTATCAACCACCATAACAGGAGAGACAAAACTAAACCTTAAAGCAACATTTAAAAATGAGAATAAGTCTCTGTTTCTCGAAGTGTCCTATGTGAAGGACCATGGGCTGCTCTATTAGTTTGCTCGGCGTAATTCTTTGGCTATGACTTGCCCAGATGCTCCCACATTTGTTCACTGCTACCAGAACAGGATGAGTGGACACAACATATATGATTCCATGTACTTTAGTGAACAAGAAAATACAGGATCCCAGCATGGTGGGGTTGGGAGGGATCTCTGGAGATCATCTCATCCAACCCCCCTGCTCCAGCAGCTCACCCACAGCAGGGTGCCCAGGGTCACAGCCAGGCAGGTTTGGGATCTCTCCAGAGCAGGAGACTCCACAGCCTCTCTGGGCAGCTGCTCCAGGCTCTGCACCCTCACCCCAAAGAAGTTTCTCCTCCTGATCAGATGGAGCCTCTCAAGTTCCAGTTTGTGCCTGTTGCCCCTTGTCCTGTTTCTGGGCACCACTGAAAATTCCTTAACATTTGATTACATATAATAGTGTGTTTTGTCCAGTTTGGATTTGAAGGACTCCCAGTTACACTGGGTATCATCAGTGGCAAAAAAAAGAGGTACTCAAAAGATGCCAAAAAATAAGCTTGAGAACAGCGCATCACAAAGAACCCAGGAAAGACTGATGCTATTAAAGGCAAGTATCCAGAGCTGAAAAAGTACTGCAGGGAGAGGCCACCCTCACAGTCAACTTCCAACGAGCTCATTTTGCTGTGGGGTGGTGGAACAACCCCACTCTTGGGGGCTCTGGACCTCGAGTGAATTCAAACACACGAACACGCTCCCAGGAGAAAGGAGAGGAGCAAGAAAACGGTGCTGTTGTGCTGCTCGATTCCTCTGCTAGAAACCAAACCTGTTCTCCTATTAAACTAAAAGCAAGTTTTATTTTTAGCTGGAGAGTGTGATTTAAAGAGAGATTTTTCTTATATGAAAGGAAGCTGCGAGGAGCGAGCGAGGGAGCAATGCATTGTGGGGGATCCAGGCTGCTTCCAGCCTCGCTGGTGTCAAAAGTTAAATGAATTCCCAAGCCAGAAGTGCTAAAGAGGGATCTGCAGCTTGCAATACTCGGATGGGGACAGCCCCCGCTTGGAGTTGAGGGTGTGATTGTGAGGTGTAACAGAGCAGTGCCACAGTCCCACCGAGGTGGCACCCAGGGGCTAGCTGTGACGGGAAGGGCATCGATGCCACGGGGTCGGGAGCCAAAGCTCCCGACACCCCTGCGCCCACGAGACAGGCAGGCCCGCGCAGCCCCGGCGCCCACGAGACGGCCAGCCACGAGCAGCCTCGCTGCTGAAGCTGTTCCTGCCACCTTGTTCCAAGTGTGTAGCTCCCTGATTTCTTTAGCAAATTCCAAATCAGCAGACGGATTTACTTTGGAGGATCTGATTAGCGGCGGTATCGATCGGCGCCAGCGCGGCAGATCTGGAGGAGCTGCAGGGCAGGGTGAACTGCATCACAATCGCCACCGCCCGCCCGCTCCCCCTCGCCAGGGAGCTGACAGGGAGCCCCAGACTTGCTTACCCAGCAGGACCCTGTTTGTCCTTTGACTCAACAAATTCTTGTCCCATTTTCAGCTTCTCCCACTCCTCTTTCCGGGTTTTGATTTTCCGCGGGTTCACGTTGCCTCGGTTGGGATTCTCCTTTTTCTCTTTCTAAGGGAGGAGGAATCAAACAGAAACCTTATTGTGCTTTAAACTCACTGGGAATAGGGAGGGACAGGACAGACCTGTAGCACTTTCACAAAGACACACTCTCAAAGAGGGCCAGGATTTTTAATTTACATTCCTGATCTCTGCAAGCTCCAAAGATCTCCCATACAGAGAAGCTGGAGCACAGATAGCATTAAAAAAAAAGAGAGACACTATCACATTCCCCCAGGGCAGATGCCATCACTGCTCCCTGCCATGACCACCCTGATGGCACAGTGAAAGCTCACTTTCCCACATCAGTCCAGTTTTTGTCTTCTGGGGCAAGACTGCCAAGTCACACCAGCACCTTGGGCTGGTGCTGAGTGCTTTGGGGTGCAATACAGACCCTAGCCCACAAACTTCTGGGCTTTGGCTGGCCTCACACTGTATTCTAATGTGCCCTAAATCTCTCCTTTGTTACTTTGATTGAAAAAAAATCACGATCTGTTTTGATACTTAATACTCCAGTTGCTCAAAAGGCAAATAAAGTATGCTCAAATGGAATATTTAAGTTGCAGTGAACATGGGTCCGAATCCCCAGGCAACTAAACCAGGAACTCTACCTGGCATTTTCAGCTAAATGGTTTTGTTAAGCCTCCCTCTTGCCCTGGATTTAACACCAGGGCCTGCTTTTGCACTCCTGAAGGGACTTTTTCTCCTTTCTTCACTCTTCCACAGTGGAACTTATTCCCCCACTCAGGACATGGTGGTGCTGGGCAGTGGGATTTGTGCTGCTTCAACATTGAACAGACCCCTCTGCAACATCAGAAGCAGAGAAAAGACTCCAACACAACTCTCTCCCCTGCTGACTGCACCAGCACGATGTTTGAGGACTACAAATGAAGCCATTATAACCATACAAAGACGATGGCATTTGGAAAAACAGATTAAGGGTATCTTTGTTTTCTTTTTTTAATTAACAAGGATGAGAGTAAAGCAGATAAAAACTTTACTGAATTGATCCCTGAAGAGTTTAATAGAGCAACCCTGAATTTTGGATAACAACTTTGGAGTCCAGGATTTATTAACACTTCCCTCCTTCTGCTCTTCCCCAACATGCCTTTGTTGGCAGAGATCTCCCATTTCCTCACCCTGTGTTTCCGCTTCTCTTTCATAATATCCTTGGTGTCCTGAAGCATCTTCTCCTTCCAAAGGTCAAAGAAATAGGAAGGATCTGTGTAGAATTTAAGTGCCTCTTTGCCATCATCCCTAGAACAGGGAAGGAGGAAAACACAATCAAGGCCCAAGCTATGCAATTGTTTGAAGCCCAAAGAAAACACAGCCCTTGATGACAGTTAAAATTTGCAGTGAGAAGGTTGAACATGCTGCTGTCACCTCTGTCCCCCATTCCAGAACCATCTGTGGACCCACAGCCTCCCTCCTCCCCTCTCCTGCCTCTCCCCCTCACACACACTCTCCATCGCTTGGCACCTGAGGAGCTCAACCGCTCCCAGCAATCCCCAGGAGAGCAGCAGGTCTCCAACTCCCACTTGTTTGTGTTGTATTTCTGGTGCAAAAAAAAAAAACCAACCAACCCAAACCCTCTCCAGCTCAGGAACCCTAAATCAGACCAGCAGCGTCCTTGAAACTCATGAGCGAGCAGAGACACACACACTCTCCTCCTACTTTGCAGTGCAGCCGCGTCTGGCAGAAGACAGCTGCCTCCAGCTATCTGTAATTACTTTTTACCTGTTCAAAAGATATTTATGGATGTGGGCTAAGTCTCTGTATTCTGACCCCCTTTTACTCCCACCACCCACAAGATGAAATCAGAGCGGCAGAACCGGTTCCGCAGTCAGCGGAAGGTCACGTCGGAGGGCTCAGACCAGGCACAGGAGGCCACAGAAAGCATCTCCAGAGCTACAGGAGCCTGCTGGACCCACCTGGGTGAGAGCCATTTACAGATGTATGCTCTGCAGTTTGCGCTGTGGCTTTCTGGAAAGGAGCCACAGGGCTACAGAGAAGCACAAGAAAAATGCATCATCTGCACAACACCAAGCATTGTTTATGCAGTGCTGGCCAAGCCTTGCCCCAAGGCAGTCACAAAAGCGACAGCAGGTAACCAAATATATAATTTTCTAGCTACACTCATTTGTACAGCCCCAAAAGCAAAGTTTCACGTAAGGGATGGAGATTTCCTGGTGGATCTCAGTTTAGCAACTCAATTTTCCATTGGAAACGGCTGCTTCCATACAGCACAGGATGGGAAATTACCTCCTTGGTGGGCTGGGAAGAAGAGGTGCTCCTCCAAGGAGGAGCAAGGGGCCACGAAGGTCTTGCAGCCATACCTGTATGGTGAGAGAATGTTGAGAGGTGGAGGAGTATTGCAGGTCCTATAGGTTTCAAGGACAGGCACGGGCAGAGAATCTCTGTCAAAGAGCTTCTGGTCCTGAGTAGTGGAGCTTTTGAAGGCCTTCCTGGTGTTAATGCCTTGCAGGGAGACTGTAAGAAAGAGGAGAGAGCAAGTGAAGAACAGCTTGACCCAGGGCAGTGACACTGAAGATCAAGTAGCGAACATCTGATTTCGGTTGGAGTTCTTGGCATGCTTAGCACTTCTTAAGGTCAGGTTCCTTTTCCCACAGACCTCTTGGGAAGCCCAGCAAATCTCAGAGCGTGCCGTGCCAAGATCCACTGCTGTACAGACAGGGCTCTCGTGAGGGTTGCCGATGGGATTCTGAACCCCTGCGACCAAGACTCCAGAACTGCACCACTACCAAACTGCTGAGAAGGGAGTTTCTGCGTGGGGACTTGCTAACAGGCAAATTCAGACTCAGCCAGAGAGGCTGTCCACACGAGCAGCACGGAGGGGAGGAAATGGTCTCTCTTAGTCCAAGAGAAGCCGTTCCAACGCCCACCGCAGCGTCAGGCTCGTTTCATGGCCGTGACCCAGCCAAGCTGACTCAGTGAGAACCTTCCCTGCACTCCCCTCCGTTACCTTCTTCCTCTTTGGGATCCAGCTGAGTGACTTTGACTTGCAGGCGGTCAACTCTCTCGACTAGAACGCTCATCCGAGAGGCAAAGGTGTTGGCTTGGGTAAATAACTCTCCAAATATGTCTTCTGCAAATTTACCTGGAATATTAAAGTGTCTGCATTACCCTCTTGAGGCTGTATTCGGCCTCCCAGCTTGTTTTCTTGAAGAAAGGAGAAAGAAAAGAAAGGACAAAAGATGCTTCTTTTCAAGCTTGTCAGGGTTGAGCTTAACATCCAGGAGGAAAACGCTCTGTTCCACCAAAACCTGACATTTCCAAGGGATCTTTAAGTAATACAGAAACTATCAAGACATACTTCCAAGCCATTATTAAAGGAATGAGATAAAGAGGGCTGACAACACCATACAGGTCTGAATCGGGATGGCTCTGTGGATCCTTTGAGATCTCTGCTCTTCTGTTTATTAGACAAGCAAATACAGTTAGATCTGTATTGCTCTGGAGAATCTCAAAGGCTCCCAGTCTCCAGCAGATCTACCTCTGAGGTAACAGGCACATATTTACAAGCTCAAAGAGCTCTGCAACTAGAAAGCAACCCCAGTCCTTGATCGTGAAGCCTGAGCTTCAACCACAGACGAAAGCACTGACCCTTTTGTTCCTTCAGGTGGCAGTGTCTGAAAAATTGATGCATTCACGTTTATTCTAACTCAAAACCAAAGGGGAACTTCTCCAACGGGGATATTCTCTCAGCAACAGCTTGGATTGCCCAGTGGGCTGCTCTGACAAACATCATCCGCCGCAGTTTGGGCTGCGACAGTGCCTAGGGGCTTGGATCAGGAGCTCGCTGCACCACTTAGAAGCATAACAAAAGGATGTCCTCTGTCCTCAAGAGTTTAAAATCTACCCGTGCAACAAGAGCTGACCACAGGTAGAGATGGGAGAAGGAGAAGAAACCCAAGAACTTAGATTGAGTGCTGTCTTTTTGTCCTGCTCACAGGCAGAACTCAAGCCAGGGAGCTCGAACCACCACGCTGAGGACAGCGCTGATCAGAACAGACTTGGCACTGAGAGCAGACACAGGCCCGTGGAGTTCCCAGTGATGGGAAACATTTCCAGCCACGGCTGTTGAATACAAGGCTGCTCCCAATAAGCAGTCTGGTTTTGAAGCGCATCATCATATGGTCAACAGTTTGTTCTGGAATCTGTTACTCCTCAAGATCCTCTCCGACATTCAGGAAAGGATAACCAGCTGGAAGTCTAACTTTAACAGCAGTTTTGGAAAATCTGGTTGTCTGCAATGAGTCACTTCAAAAAGACCTTCCACAAGGCATCCCCCAAAGCCCAGTTGCACAAAGACCTTCAGCTGTCTGAAGGGACATATCAGCTCCTTGTCGATACTCCTGGGCAGTTCTCCTCCTGCTGCCAAGTACAGGGAACCAGCCAGGTTAAAAATCAACCTCCTCCGCCCCTCTGGTGGCAGTGCCAGCTTCAAGTGTTTGCAGAAAGCAAGCACTGGATGTTAACTTCAACTGACCTCCTCCTTCCACTCTCCTAGACAACGTGCATTCCATGAACAAGCTCAATCAGCTCTCCTCAAACTCACAAGAGGGATTTTGTTTCTGGAGACCTAAGGGCCAGGTAGCTCTTGCTACAGCCAGGTTTCCAGGACCCTCCACCACAAGACCATCTTTCCTGCTTGACCAAAGTGGGTGAACGTTTATCTTTGGGAAAATTTGACACTTCCCAGCAACAGTTAAATAAAAAAAAGAACAAAAGTTGTAATTTGGTTTCTCTTTTAATGAGAACTGAAATGAATTTCTGAATTTCACAAGGAACTGCAACAAGCACCAGGGAAAAATAAAAGTCTTTGGTTTCTAATACTGAGGAGTGTTTCAAGTATAAAATAGAGACAGTATTGTATATATGGGTCTTGACCCTGGCTGGTCTGAATTCCCTTGCCTGGGTAAATGCACCTGTACAGAGTCACCACCCAGCATCTCACAGCCCTCTCCGTGTTCCACAAACACTTTTAGACGGGGTAAGGCAAGAGATTAATTTTTTGGTTTAGTTACTTTGACTGCAAAAGTGCAGCTTACAATCAGAATTATCTTTGTCATGCACTGGCAGGAAGACAGACGGCGTGATTTAATAGGTCTTTCCATCTTTAGCTCGTGGATTCTGTAAAAATCACACAGAAACGCGCAGTCGACTTATACAAAGTGCTACCAGCTGTGATAGTAACGAAGGGTAAACTCACTGGAATATGAAAGTTTGACAAGATTTATGTTTGCATCTTTGTAAAGAGACTGTGGTGCACCAGGCATGGCTGATTATTCACTTGACAGGGCTGTCACAGCCTACTGAACCTGCTTTACGTCCCTGTAATAGTCAACGGACGAGGAAGGAGCGGATTTATTTTTCAGAAGTAAAGAGCAGCAAAGGAGGGGGGTCAGAGTTTGGTCATTTGGGCACGAGCGTTCTGCAGTACTCAGTCTAAATATTGCTTCATTTCAAATCCTGCTGGCACTCGACATTCCCTCCCCACCTGCCTCGCCCCCCTCGTGTGAAGCACGCGAGCGGCAGCAGAGCCACCTCTCCGGGCTGTCCCTCCAGCTCTCCTGGAGGTATCTGCCATTGGTCCGGCAGCACGCGCCTCCCTCCAGCGTCGCCGGCGAGGCTCCCAGGGCCCCCTCCCCATGGAGGAACCAGGCTGCAGTTTGGCTTCCAGCACTTCACCCTCTGCAGGAGCAGGGGAGGTGGGAGCAGCGCAGAGCAGGGTGAACGCGGAGGATCTCGGCGCGGCTCTGTCACGCCAACCCGCTGCGTGCCTTTGGACTGGGATTAGCTTTCTCTGCAGCTGAGATTTGCGGCTTTACTGCCTCCCTCCTCATCGCTTCACATGCACGAGGTGGATTTTACTCACACTCCACGACCACCTTGGCTACAAGACCTAACAAATGAACAGTGAGGGCCAGTTGAACGCGAGCGGAGAGCCTGGGCTCGCCCGCACGGTGACATTCTGACAGCCCAACAGAATGTGACACTGATGGGCAGCAAACACAGGCCCAGGCTTCAGCGGCAGGCCCGGCCTTCTCTGTGGAAAGAGACTGTACCCAAACTTCCCCTGCCACATCCGTGCCATGGTGGAAGACGGGGGGCTCTGCAACGCGAGCAAAGGTGCTTGCAGGCACTACAAAGAAGCCAAACCATATATTAACCTGATTCACCAAGTCTTGCTTCAAGGGCAGAGGTGGCTCATCAGAATCCAGAGCACTTCAACAGAGTAAGGAGTCATCCTGGAGAGACCACAACCAACTCTTCGTTTCTCCCATGGCATGCAGACCCACGTTTTCTTTCCAGCCTTCACTAGCCAGCCCACTGGAGAGCCAAGCCAGGCATGGCTGTGGCTCATGGGGTGAGGCAGCCCCAAAGCCCCAACACTCCAGAGTCCCTCCAACTGGGGACTTTGGGTCTCACAACGCAACAAACAGCGGAGGCAAAGAGGCGGCTTCTGCGTGCACGCTTTAATCATCTCTCATTAAAACTAAGACTACTGCCACCGCGCAGATTCCACACAGTCAAGCTCCATTTAGTGGCGCGTGCAATTAGAGGCACATTCTCTGACACAAGATCCTGGCTGCTCCCATTTTACAAGCCTGAGTTGTGCTCCATCCTTCCATCTGCAGTTTCGCTGCAGCCTCTCACACAGGCGCACGCATCCACGCGCACACGCCCCCCTCCCCATTTTTCTCTTCCATAGGAAAGCAGTGGGACCAGGGATATGAAATTAGCATCAGATTTCTTTAGGAAAACATTTTAGCATTACCCAGGGAAGGCAGATGGGGGAGAAATAGGAACACGAGAGTCGAAAGGGAGCTAAATAAAGAGCACGAGCGACTCCTGAGGGCAACGCGCAGGCTCGCCATGGTACTCACTCAGGCTGCCCAGCTGTCGAATGACATTTGCCAGGGTGATGTTGGTCATGCATTCCAGCTCGCTTCGAACGCTAGGCAACGTCTGACGGCACAGGTGCCTTGGCTCAATGTTCCTCGTTACTAACGGCATGGTGGACCTGCTTCAGGCACTGTTCTGAAAGATGAAAAACAACCCAAAAAAGAAACAGGAAAGGATTACTCAACCGCAAATTCCAGGCACACCAGAGCCATGGTGTTCGTTTTTCCTGCTCTCAAATGGCTTTATTTATAAGCCTTCTTTCCCCCCCCTTCCCCACCCTTATAGAACTGGTTCATCAGAAATAAAGATCCTGCTGTTCTGTGACTTGCAGTGACAGCGGAGCCCCGCCAGCTCAGGTACAGAGGCAGAGATGGAAAGCTACACATCTTCGCCCACACGCGAGGTGCTGCTGGCATCGCCGCGGCCGTTGTTCCCTTCCTCCCCCTCCGCCGCCCCTCAGCAGCCTCCTTCCTCCCGCACAGCCTCTCTGGCGACTCTCACAAGCTCTTCTCAAACGTTTTGAACTTGCAATCAATGGGTCTGCTTCAACCGAGGGGATGAAGAGGGGAGATGTTAAAAAGAAAAACCCAACAAAAACCATAAAGCAAATCGGCTTCTTCCAGCACCCCAAAGCATTCGCAGCGCCTCTCCCCAGAGCAGCACAGCCAGGACTCTCTTGAAACAACAGGAAGGGCTTGCAGCTGACCAGGAAACTTTCTGGTGACTGTTCCTTATCCTGCAGGCTGCACCCCTCTTCCCTTGGGAAATCCCCCGGGGCCCACGTTTACACTGGACCATTGTTTTCCTGCTACAGCAGTTGAACGTTGAGGGAGCTCTAATCAGGATGCAGCGCTAGAGCGTGCTCAGAGAGAAGTCAAGATTGATTGTACTACAGTCAGGACAAACTTCCAGTTCTTCACAAAAGAAAAAACCACATAAACGTCCGGAAGTTATGTTTTGGACAGAAAAATGCTTTTATGTGCAGGTCAATGCCTTGAACCAACAAAAATCTCCCTTGCTAACGGTGGAGCGACGAAGGGCTCCCTGGCAGCTCATCCACCTCCAAGAGAGGAGGAAACTTGGGTAAACAGAGCAGGGAGCACCATACACGCCTGAAATCTTTAAGACTACGTGAAAGCAAATACATCCCAACTTCTTGATTAATTTAGAAGGGGAAAGAATCACTTTTCTAGGTCAGCTGAGGAAGAACCCAAGAGAAGCAGCCAGCTCCCATGTGATAGGCATGCTGATCTGCTTGGGCTGGGTGTAAAAATAAAACAGGAAGCTAACAGCTTGGGGAACATGGCTTCCTGTCACCACCAGCAAAAACCCAAGAACCATAAAAAATCAGCTGTTTGCTCTTGACTTTGAGCCACCCTTTGATAGTCTCTGTGGCAGCTGGCAGCTTATCTTTGAGGTCCAGGAGTCCTTCCTGGATGCTTTTCTATCAGGGTGTTAAGAGGAAGAAGTGGGCATTATCCCTCCTAATTACCTCACAAGCCAGATTTTGAATTGCTAAATTTGACCCATTAAGGCAGAGGAGTTCAAGAGCAGCAGCACACAGGCTATCTCCCAGACAAGCAGATGCAGGTTGCCATTTTGCAACACCTCTACACCAGGGGTTTCGTGTGCTCGTCCCCCCAACGAGGACAGGCTCCCCAAAACCTGGAGAGGGGAGCGACACCTCGAAGGGTCCTCAAAAGGGGGAGTGAGAGCTGCATCCAAACAAACAAAAGCAGAGGCTCTCAGAGAGCTGAAGCTCATGTTGTTCTTCCCTGTGTCCAAGGGCTGCAGCAGCCATCGGTAACTGCTGGGATATTTAAAGAACAGGGTGAACTAAGGAAGGACTCTGACCTTCGCTTCGAAACACCCCGTGTTTTATTGATTACAGCCCAAGCCCTACAATCTTTTGTCAGCTTTAGCGCTTTATGCCAGACAAACTTTCCCAGCTCCCCCCAGACTGCAGTCTGCACCAACAAGCAGCTCTCATAAACAAGGCAGCATTTGCAGGCTGCCTGCATCGAGCTTCTCGCCGGTGCGTCCCCAGGGCTCGGCCAGGGAGCACACGCCGTGGGATCTGCAGAGCCAGGGTGGACACAGCCCAGCCACCAAACCCGGCTGGAAACCTTCCAAGGGGCAGGACAGACAGAAGGAAAATGGCAAGAGGGAAAAAGGAGCCTGTGAGGGGGAAGAGATGGGAGCATGCCTGTATAAAAAGAGACCAAACACCCCCAAGATGAGAGGTGTGCCAGGGCGGATGGACGCCTAGCACTCATCGCTGTAAGTATGGGAAGAACAGGGCAGAAAATGGAGCAGTGCCCCAAATACAACTAAACAAAGGCTCAGAATATAAAGCCCTGAGGACTGGTTTCCTTCCCTCAAGGGTTGTCCAGGGCTGTGCCAGGCTGCCCAGGGCAGTGGTGGAGTCCCCACCCCTGGAGGGGTTTCCAAGCCGTGGAGATGTGGTGTGAGGGACACGGGGCAGTGGGGACCTGGCAGTGCTGGGGGATGGTTGGACTCCATGATCTCAAAGGTCTCTTCTGACCAAAACCATTCTGTGATTCTATGTTGTTTCCCCTGAAAGTGTTGGCCTTCCAAGCATATGTGCTGAAACTAAAAGCAATGAGTAGTGGTGAAAGTTGCATTTTTATTTTTAAAGAAAAATAACAAAGGTACAGCACATGGACAGTACAAATTTGCACCAGTGCAAGACAACAGAGATAAGGGCTAAGAAAAACCCTCCCTTTATAGCCAGGCTCATCCTGCCAGCCACCCCCACCCTCCCAGCACAGCCTGCCACACTCTGCTGCAGAACCAAGAGTTTCACCCTCGTGATTGCTACGCCAGCCCTCCTCATCCTCGTCCCTCCCTGTCCCCAGGGAGTACAGCAGCACTTCTCCTTCCCAAGGCAACAGGGACGGCCCCACTGCTGCTCCTAAAAGCAGCCAGGAGCCAGCAAAGAACATAAAAGAAGAGATTAACTCCGTGGAACACCGGAGACAGGGAGGCACAGAGGACAGGACGGGCTGGGGACAGCCACCCCTCTGCTCTGGCAGCAGCCTCTGGGATAAGGGGCCTTTTAAAGCAACATTTCCTCTCCTCTGAGCGGAAGGCCAAGGAGCTTCAAGGTTTCAGATGTTTTTGCAGGGTGGAGGCAGGCAGATAGGAAATCTGGGACCCACAACCAGAGCTCGGTGCCAGCATTAGAGAAAAGGGCAGTCAAGGTCCCCACTTTGCTGTTAGACCTCATTTGTCCCTGTGAGCCTTTGGAGGGTAGGTACAGAGATACCAGCTAATGGGCTCCTGTAAAACCTTCATGCCTCATGAGTAGGTGGGACAAAGATTAATAGTCTGGATTGGAAAACAAGCAGTGGATTTCGAAAGCAGGAGTCAGGAGGGGCTGAAAATCAAGTGTGGGGAAGGGACAAGGTGTGAGAACAGAGGGAGAAGGAGGAAGCAAAACAGCACAAGGCACAGAGGTGGGGGCAGGGAGGAGAGACAGTAAATGAAACAAGGAAGGGACAGACTTAAAAAAGCTTTCCAGGAGGCTCTTGCTTTTAGTCTTGAAGAGAGTAATTAGGAAGCTGATTGACAGCATGCTACCAGCAAGGGCCATCCAGAACTGCTTTACTTTTGGTGGTCAAGGCATGACAGCACAGCAGTTTTCCAGCCCAGCTAGCCAGGGTGGCCATCAGGCATTAGTCACTGTCACGTAACTGCCGCGGACCGTGAGCTAGAACTAAATCCTACCATTCAGAAGTGAGTCAAGTGAATTGTGAGGCCAAAAATCCTTATCTATCTGGCAAAGATAAGCGCTTCCAATGCTTATTAATGTTGAAAATGAGATTTGTTTCAGTAGCAGAGTTTGGGGTGCATACGCTGGCTTTAAGAAGCACAGAATCGTTTTGGTTGGAAGAGACCTTTAAGGTCACCAAATTCAACCACTGCCCCAGCACTGCCCCATGTCCCTCACACCACATCTCCACAGCCTGGAAACCCCTCCAGGGGTGGGGGCCCCACCACTGCCCTGGGCAGCCTGGCACAGCCCTGGGCAACCCCCCAGGGGAAAACCCTCCGCTGGGGAAACTTCAGCCTATTGCCTCTTGTCCTTTCCCTGGTTCCTTAGGAGAAAAGACCAACCCCCACCTGGCTCCAGCCTTCTGTCAGGAGCTCTGCAGAGCCGGAAGGTCTCCCCTGAGCCTCCGTTCCTCCAGGCTCAGCACCCCCAGCTCCCTCAGCTGCTCCTCCCCACACTTGGGCTCTAGACCCTTCCCCAGCAGCTTCGTTGCCCTTTTCTGGCCACACTCCAGCCCCTCAAGGTCCTTCTTGGAGTGAGAGGCCTTAAAACTGGACCCCAGATTCAAGGTGAATATTCAAGAAGCTGCCAAGAACAGCATGTCATGGGCACAGAAGCCCTGCCCTGATCCTGCTGTAACAGGAGAGGAGATCAAGTATGTTAACAGTAACAGGAAACTGCCTCCAAGAAACAGAAAACTCTCTGCAACAGATTTCTAATGAATATGTAAAAAAAAAAAAAAAGGCATCAAACTGAAGCACAGCGCTCACAATGGGAGAAGTGAAGTGATCTTTGGTGGCTGCAGAGCCCCGCCGGCGGGGAGTTTTTTGAGGCCGAAGCCGCTCGCAAGCCAAATCCACAAGCCCTGCTGCATCCACTGACCTTCAAAACACTCATCCTCCCGACCACTGTCCTTCACCCCTTCTTCAAAACACCAAGTGAGGGTGTTTGTTAAGGCAACAAACTATTTTTTTCTCTCCCAGTTGATTCTGAACCTTCCTACCTGCTCACGACAAGCGTTCCCTCCCAGGTCTCCAAGTCACGGCTTGAACCAAAGGAGGCCCCAAGCCTTGTTATGACGGCAGTGACTAAAAGCCAAACCATCCAGAGCCCAGCTTCGCCCGCAGCTCTCTTCCCCTTGCCTCCCAGCTGCCCCACCTCCAGCTGGGCATTGCCAGAATTCTTCATAATTTCCCCTCTCCCAAAACGCTTACGCACGCGTGGCCGAGCCTCGGCCCAGCTCTGGCCCAGGAAATGTTTGCTGAGCAGGACAAAAGCCCTGGAAGCTGAGCTCACTGCTCCTGCATTCCTGTCGCTCTTCCAGGCACAACTGGCACCTC